TTCTGTCTGCTGTTATGAAATAATAAAAGTGCTCCACAGTGAGCGCTGATAATTTCATTACAGAGAAAGGAAACAGACTGTTTGTAGAGTTAATAAACAGTGTTGTTGTTACATTTCAGCAAAGCAGAGTGACCTCCAAATCCACCGGACCAGCGACAGCCAGTCCCATCCCAAAACTGTTGATCAAAACTCAACTTTGATCTGATCCAACTGCACCAGTGCGAGGTAAACATCCTCGATGCCCCGCTGCGTTTTGGAATCTGGGATATGAGTGCACGAAGAAAAAAAAAAAGCACAGCCGGAGACGCTTTGTTTCAAAGATTTATGCAGCAGGTCCTCCTGCTCGCATTCATTCATATCAATTCAGATATCTGAAAGATGAGCACCTGAACCGCTCCATGGTAACTAACTGCTGAAGCACAGGTGCACAAAATGCTGTTTATACCAGAATTAAAAAGCTCAGTTAAAAATGTGGTGAAATACCCCAAACACCAACAAAGAGTCACCCTCTGGCCCGCCCCAGAGCGCCATCGGTCTGAACTTACAGGCGTAGGTCATGGCGAAACTGCTGCTCGTGTCCACCATGTCCACCTGTGGCACCAGCTTGGGGATGTCCTGGTTTTGTGCCAGGGCGAAACGAAACACCTCGTACTCGTGGGAGTCACCGGGGAAAAGGCCTCCTGTTGACAAACACACAGAGACACACAGAGGTTGTTCTTCAGTGTCCCAAAGCACAGAGGACGGGAAAGCCCAGAGAGAGAAACGACCCACAAGCCCAAAGACACCGGTGTGCTTTACAGTAAGAGCTGATGCTGTTTGATTTAACATGGAATCAGATACAAGAGTGAAATCTTTATTGAGCTGTTCATAGTGATCGTCCTGTATAGGACCGCCCTGAAGAGCGCCCCCACTTTATCCTGTTCTTAGACTATAAATGCAAGTAAAACTCAGTAAAACTTTTAATTAAGCCTCAAAAAGTCAGAAGAAAAGGAGGTCGAGGGTCAGCGCATCGCCCTGCTTCCCTCTGCAGAAAAGCTAACAATGTGTTCTGGATTATTGCAGGAAAAACGTTTCTCTGCAAAACAAAGATTTTATAATAATGTCCATGACGTAATATTGTGCTAATTAGCTCGTGCTAGTTATTCATGTGGAGCTGTTTAGCACAATTAAAGCATGTTAGTCTTTGACAGCTCCCTATTTCAAGATTTAGCAGATAATGAATGAACTAGAAACACATCACAAGGTTTACCTGCATGCAAAGTTCCCTCTAATGTTTCATGTGTCTGAGCGAACACACAAACTCCCTGAGCGTCCCTTGGACCACTGAGCAACAGCAGACCATGGCCATTGAGGCCATGCCAGCAGTGCGCGATTGCACACGCGTGTAGCTTAGAGGAAACTTTGCCTGCAAGTCATCTGCACCTTTAGCAGGGAGCTAATGAAGCTCATGAGTCTACTGTTAAGCTAGCTTCTCTTACTCGTATAGAAATGCCTTAAAAAAAAAAAACAATTGGAACTAAACGATGTAATTGTGGAGCTTCTCCTGTTATTTAAAATACGTCTAACCACTTTTTTTTCAGTGTGAAGCTTTAGTTACTCAACCATCTAAAAATTCTGTCTATAAAGTGGTCAACGTGGATCTACTTCCTGCTGCTGATAGCCAGAAACAGCCGTGTCTCACTCCTGTCTGAACTTGGACCCTTTGTCCTGTTTAAGGCCAAAATTCCTCAGTTGCTATGAAGTGAAACATTTTCATGTGTTCAGCTCATATTAGTCTACTTAAGGCCGCTAATCAGGGTCAGGTTTCATTCTCTGTTGTCTGTAAATGAGGTTAAATGTGGCTCCTTGTCTTCATGCTGGTGGAAATGAATAAACTCGCAGCTTCTCTCTCCTCCAGCTTGCTGTTCTTAATTTGTTTCCATATAGTCGTGATAGAGCATGATAGTTTTCTTCCAATTTATTTCACTTTCATGTCCCCAATAAAAGAAAAGTGGAGCTGACCTGTCTGTTTTCATACTTGCATATTCACACTCACTGCTCCTCAAACTCCAACTTTACCCTAAAATAAGAAATGGGAGTAAAGTTAAGAAACTTTGTGATGTTTGATTGTGCTGCCGTGAGCTGGCTGCTCACACAGAGTTTACCATTGCCACTAATAATGACGAGTGCCCGCTTTGCTGTAATTGCTGTTAAAAGCCTCTTTTCTCTGCTCTTAGTGGAGCCATTTTACAGCACTCATACCCTCTCTGCATAATGGTTTCACGTGGAAATTATCCAAACACTTAAACTCCGACTGACTGACCCTCTTCTGTTTCCTGTGCTGAAGGAGGAAGAGATGCTTTCATATGACGGCACAGCAGGGCGCTCCAACGTCCTCGATTCAAATGTTAATTTATGTTTTTCTTTCTTTTTGTGGTGAAGCTTTCATGACTCTTCTTCTCAGCAGGAAAGTAAAAATTGCTCTGTCCACTCTGTCTCCACACAAACAGTTTGGTGACATTTAGGCACAAATTTTCTGCAGTTAAAGAAAAAGGAACTAAAACATCTTTCTTCTGCGCCGAGCTTCATCTTTATTTAGCCAGTCAGTGCAGAAATTAGCATCGCCATGGTTTCCTCAACAGAAACAGATTGGGGTTTTTACAGAGCTTTTTAGATCATCACATAAAAATAAATGTGGGAAAATAAAAGTTTATGATACGCACAAATTCAGTTCAGCATCTCCACAATTTGATGCCATTTTTATTATTGTGTAAGTGGGATTTCAATCACCAGAGGGGGGCGATATGGAGCACAAAAAATTCATACTTTTCACACTCCTTCTGTATATTAGTTTTTCCATCAAAGCACCGTGCGAGTCATCACTTTGTATTCACATTTGAAATTGTTGATCAGTTTGTTTCAGCCAAGGCCCCCTAAAACAGACATGAGCACTGATAAGTACTGCAGTAGAGACAAGCTTGTCCTGTAGGAATCAAACTAAACCCATAAAGTGCTGAAGATTATTAATAGTTTCCGGAGTTGCCTTAAACTTGAGAATAGGAAGAAAAGAGATTTTTCTCTCAGTACTTGTGACCTTCAGCAGTGTGGATGTCTGTGGCAGCAGAATGTGGCAGCTGTGTGCTGAAATCTGCAGGCTGCAGGCAGATGGACACAAAGATTTCTGTCATTACTATCGATGTAATCATCGAATATGAGCCATGGAGTTTTCCCCTGAATCTAACTGTGATGGTCCGAATGTGTCGGTGCAGTCAGAGGTTCAAATGATCAGAGTAAGAGAGTGGATTACACTCCTGGATGAAAGCAGCAGCTTCACTGTGGCCATCACTATGATTTTTATTCCAAAAGTCCTGATAACTCACAGCTGAGGTTCACACTCAGAGAGAAGGTGATTTTTTTCCCGATCATTGCAGTCTAACACAAAGTCAGCTGAACTTCAGTCAGTCAGGAAGCACCCATTACACTGCAGAGACACCAACAGGACATTAATCCAGCTGCACGGCGTCTGTCTCACTGCAGGACGCCGGCACCTTGTGGATTCTGGATCTGACAGTTGGGTCAGAGACGAGCACAGAAGCTCATTTTGTTCTTCCTCACACAGGAGCAAATAAGGCTCCGTCCAGTTCTCTGTTTTTAACGACCCATCACACTCCTGAGGATGTGCTGGTCGATATGGATGAACCCATGCCCAGATTCAGCCTGAACGAGCTGCAGGTACTGTCTCGTTCCACCAGCAGTGACAAAGACATGAACGGAAAGCAGCCAGGAGGGATGAGCAGAGCGCAGCAGTCTGCGGTCAGCACCTGCAAGACCTTTCCCTTTATCTGGGGTTTGTCCAGCGCACCTGCTGCTACTTTCATCTGTACAAAGCAGGTGAAACGGATTCACAGTTTCTGCTTCCCAACTGGACACACTGTCTCTGAAGTTCGACTGTGTGTTATTCATTTAACCCAGTCGAGCTTTTTGGAGACTTTTTCTTTGTGTCCTAGTTACTGTAACTGGTAGTTATTCAAGTCAGTATCATATTTAGTCATTATTAGCTCAGGAGAACACGAAGATATTCAAACTTTACAATAACTTTTAATACAAGAGGTCTGTTATGATTCATCACCTCCATGTCTGTGTAACCGGGTCATAAATTACACAAAATGTGTTCTAGACCCCAAACCCTTCCTATTAAACCTGACTTTTAGGACCTTCAAGCCTGTAGTTATGTTCATTATCAGTTAGAGCCCCTCCTCCTTCTTTGGTGCAACCCTATAAATACGGGGTTCCCCTTTGGCCCCTCCCCTTTTCCACAACTCCCCTGTGGGAGAGGTTGGTGTCATTTCTTTCCCAACACATAATGTATATTCAGCCACCCTGATGTTTCTGATTGTGTTTTAGTTCAGTTATTGTCATCACTGTGCCTGTCTTTGGTAGAT